GATTGATGGCAGTGCTCAAGAGCTGTCGGATACTTGGTTTTGCTGGATTCTCCAAGTATGTCTCTTCCTGGTAGCAGTCTCCGAAAGCAGCTTTCAACAGTCCGCCCAAAAGTTCTAGATCTCGCATAGCTTAGCTGGTCGGCCATGAGGACCAAAAGCTTGTGACACGGATACCCCTTTCAAGGGCTGAATGGTATCGGATCCGAAGCCGTTTTGCAATGTCGACTCTTACTCGTCGCATCACGGATTTGTGGACGAGGATCTGCGGTCGGTTGCGCTTTCGCTCGGGATGGAGCCCCTCTCTTGGCTGGCCTCCTGAGAAAAGAGTCGGCCAGAGACGAGTTCACTCTCGCTAGTGACAGTCGTTTCCCTCGTTTAATGACGTGGGATGAAACAACTGACGATTCTCATGCGTTCAACATTGATGTCATCTACACTGATCTTTCAAACAGATTGAGTTGACATCAAGTCACCATTGCCATTACTAGCATCTGAAATCTCGAAATATCTGGAACCTCGGCGGTAACATGATAGTTTACAACAAAGAGAAGTGGCATCGATTGCAACTGGGCCTGACCGTCGTGTATTGATTTCGAGACATTTCGTGATTGTTTCGCAGCTCATTCTTACCGAACCCTGCCGTGTGAAACACTATCTCGCTCTTTCTCCTAAACTTGTTTGTCTCGTGTGCTACAATTTGCATTCTGGATGGTAGCAATGAGTCCCTTTCTTTGGGCCATCCGCCCACAAAGTGTCAATGCCTAGAATGCTACCTGACTCGCTTCTCTGGAGAACTTTTTTCCCTTTCGGTGTGCTACGCAAGCTGCCTGCACGCTTTGTCTCTTCTCTATCCCTAACCATGTGATTGCAACTTCGGCATACGTCTTAGTCTTTGAGGCAACCACTACGTTTGTTGAAATTGCTCCTAAGGAGAGGCCGTGCATGCTTCATCTGCAGTGCATCATCAGACTTCCGAGCTGGCCTGCAGACGTACCGATCGAGTCACCCCACTCAGATGTTTCCGCCCAAATGTTTAGCAAGGCCGAGCCTATACTTCTTTTCCGGTTGTTTATACAACTTCCTTGTTTCGACGGTGCCCGTGTAGTTCGTGCAAACTGGTGAAATTCGACATAAGAATTTGATACGCTCGAATCGTTAAACAACGTTTAGTCTGTCCATCTGTAAGAGTTTGTCTTGAAGATATGCTTCAAGGTTCTGGAGCGTCCGTGGCGCAGATCTTAGGGTCTAAAATTTTGTCTTCCAGAAGTGTGTAGATTTGCAAGGAGATACCGGCGATCGACAGAAACAGGGTGGCAGACGGGAGAACTACCAGTGCACAGTGGTCATAGCTCTTGGAGAATTGTAGCTTAACCAGTCCGGAAGCATCCAAAGAAAAGACCATGGCTTCAAGCTCCCGTCATTTCTCCGTATTTTCTGCGCGTTTTGTTCCAAGAAGCGGCATGCTGCAGCTTGATAATCTCGGCCGTGGGCGACTTGACACCTTGCCTGGTCAACTTCTCGAGCCGACCCTGTTGCTTTTGCGAACTAAACAGCCCCCACGGCGGAAGGCTTTTGGCTGCCTAGGCAGCCAATTTGTCTGCTTTGCTAAATTCGAGTCCAAACCGAGCGGACAATCATGCGTTCATCTTTTCCCGAGTCACATGCACGCTCAACGATTGCAAGACGTTTTCTAGAGCTGCATCTCCAAGCACGAGCACGCTCGCATTTGAGCAATCATCGAGCTCCAGGTCTAACTTGGATTGCTTAGGAGGCTGTGACGGAGGAAACGCGTTGGTCTTATATGCACCAGAGGTAGGGTTATTTGATTGTTTCGGCTGATGCCTCCGCTTTCTATAGAACCCAGCAGAGTTTACATAACGGTGGATGTAGATTTTTTTCACTTGAAGCTCGAGCCTGAAACGCAGCCACGGAATCGTAGCCCTTAAAAACATGTTAGGTATTCTGAATGCACAATAGACAAGTCCTCTGAGGTTTTGAATCCCGTTTCCCGTTTGATTGTATGGCAGGTCCGTCTTTCATTGAAAATGAGGTGAACTTGTATCAGTTCTACTACGCCGAATGTGTCGTCTTTCTTCCAACCGCAAGCTGTCAAAGTGTTCCACATCAATGAAGCCTTCTTTTTGACCAAATATGAGACTTGGGTCGCCACGGCGCTATGTCAAGAGGATTCTCTGTTAGAGTTCTGGGCGTTAGTGGGGGGTTCACAATATGTTGTTGCCTAGAAAGATTTGCAAGTGATGGGAAGCGGATAGAAAGTTTTGCTTCTGAACCAACAGAATTGCAAAGTGCACGTGAGACAGTAATATAACACACAAGGAAACTTTCGAGGCCTCTTGCGACAGGCTTTTTCAATTCTCTCTTTCCAAGGTTGAAGGCAATGAACGAACCGGCACGGTAAAGTGGAAGTCCAGACGCAATTTTGGTTCAGTGCCTCCGATGCCTCACCGTTCAAGAGCGCAATTAGCGTAACCTTGTACGTTGGAAGTTGCCAATCTCGCTTTCGCATCATTTATGCAGCCGGCCCGGTTGCGAGCATCTGAAGAACTTCAGTGAACACAGCGGAAAATTTGGTCGCTGTTCTCGGGGTGATGCCAGCTTGGCTGTGGCCACTTCATGGGTCTCCGCACCGAAAGACTTTACAGATTTTATTCTCTCTAAATGCTGAGTCCTGCGCATGCCCACGTCTCTCTATCGTCCAGCCTAGATTAGTGACGGCCGGTTAACATAATGGTGCCTGCACGCTCTGCTTTCGACGCTCGTTTACTCTCTATAACGGAGTTGTTCGTTCCTGAAATGCAGTGCCAAGCCGTAACCTTTTCGTTGGACACTTGACCTTCGAGTTCAAAAGTTACACCTGTCGTCAATTTCAGCAGCCCTTTCCGAAATCGATTGGGCTGCTCAAAGTGGCCCGCCCATGTGGCTGAATCGCCGCTTCTATCCCATATTCCTTCTTGCTTTTGAATATTTTCCACAAATTTTAGTAGCGACTATCTTTCTAAGGCCCGCAGCCTCGGGTGCGGGCCCAAGGCAGGGCAATGAGGATAATCATTTCAGGAACGTCTCCGTCTCGATTGCAGATGGAGAACACCATCGACACGTGGTCCGATGCCGTTTGCTCATTTGGGCCCCTTAACAAGAAATTGGGCTGAGAAGAAGTAGGTAGTCCTGGTGTGGCATGAGGTTTATTTAACGGTTCCGCTGTTTTGACCGACAAACCAGCAACCTATTCCAGATTGAGCGCATTTTCTGGTTGGTCCTCTAGCTTAGTCGCTTTGAACTCTCAGATATGCGACGAGCAAATCAGATTTTCTTGTTTTACGACCTTTTGGTGGCGATGCGTCGATCCTTTACTCGGATCAGACTTAGATGGCAGAGAGTTGCGATTGGGCCCCGAATCTGCGTTGGCGAGTAGCTCGTGCCCTGAAATCTCTAAAATCTGCTCGTTGAAAAAGGCGAGATCGTGTATGTTAGACGGGCTTTTGTTTTTTGCGTCCTTTCCATGTACTCTATCCCTTTCCGCAAGCCCAAAAGGTCTTATAACCGAATGTAACAGCTTGTAAAACCACCTAATGGCTTGATTCGTAAGGGTCCCGCCTTTTACTACTGGTGGGCTCTGGTGGGCCTGCCTCATACGTTTGCGTTCGTTTATCAAGGGGCCGTGCGGATGAAGCTGAGAAAAGTAACAGTCCAGCACCTTCCTGAAAGCCAAGAACCACTCCAAGTGCATGCGTGCGTCCCAACCTCTTCAGTGATGAATTGTAGAAGCATCATGCTCCACTGTTTTCATGGTCTGTAGAACCTTATCGAGCTCATGGCCGACGATTCAAGGATTCGGCCACACTTTAGCCCTGTGGCCCAGCTTCCACTGGTCATGTTAGATCAGCAGAATGCTTGCAAACCGAGTTTGGTCCTGGTCCCAGAAGTCGAACACGCTTTTGACTGCTTTTTCTTTGAAGTCGTTGGAAGCAGCAACAAGTGGCTTCGTTTTAGAGAGAGCTTGATTCCCAAGACCTTTGTCCAAGCGTCCTGATGCGGAGAATAGATTCGAATACAACCCGCTTGAGTTTTTAAACGGCCGTATTGTATAAAATTGGCCTCTCGGTCCGGATGAGCGTAGTTTCTCTTCTCTTAAGCTTGCTAAGAGCTTTCTGGGCGCTCTCTGGAAGGCAATGAAAATGTGATGGCTGGGACTGGACTTCCAGACCAGAAGGAGTTGGAACGATCTGATCATGCCTTACTCGAATATGCAAAAGTGACCCGCGGCAGTTGAGACTTCTGCAAACCCTCGAAGACGGTTGAGCCGGGGGCAACTTTCGCAGTGTTCCGTCCGATTGTAAGTTTATGTACCAACCTCTTGCGAACACTCTTACTTGGACAATTAGAACAACACAAGTGCACCACCATACAGGAGGTTGAAAAGGAAAGGAGAACTTTTATGCTTAGTCGACTGCTTCTTCTTTGAAATTGTCCTGACTGTGAGGTCATGAAAGTTCTTTGCTGGCCAAAGAGTCAGTTGGATCAATTAGGTCTGGCCTTGCCTGACGCCTCAAAAATTGCGTTATTGTTTGTAGGCGCTGTTGGGAAATTAGCACAAATAGGGCTTCATGCTTAGTTGCCAGATGCTATGGAGGGACCCACTCCGGTTTCTGCACTCCTTCTTGCTGCCACAACGGTGACTGCAGGTGTAACCTGAATTGCCGGCGCGCTGTTCCCCCTTATTCGAACAAGCATTTGTTTCTGTTCGTCTGCCTAATGTTTGCATACTCAGCCGTGTTTCAACGTTGATCAAAAGTACTTGGCAGAGTCCTCGTCTGATCAGTGTTGGTGTAGGTGGTTTCGGTGTCTCCCGGGCATCTCACGCCTATCATTGGTCAGCGATAGTCAGCCAAATACGTATAACCCTGCTCTTCTTACAGCACGTTGTTGCTTCAGCTCAAAGGAACAGCTCGCTGTCTAGTTCAATGAACCGCCCCTAGTACTCAAAAGCGGAACCTTGAAGACTGGGTGAAAGCATCCCAGGAAGCGGCACCGGCGTCGTGAAAAGCGAAGTTGCCTCGCATCTCGCGAAGGAGTTCCTCAAACACCGTCTCCGGAACACTGACGTCCTGCACGAGAGAAGGAGCAGGAATCTGTTGTGTATTCCGGGTTTCATGCATGCTTATCATCGACTCTAGTGGGTGGTAAAACGGATTGTGCTTCGCGACTGAGTTCTGCTCTTAAGCCGCCGGCGCCGCGGCCGGCCTCGCGCGTGTTTTATCGGTATGCACCGTGCACATCAAGTACGCGGCACGCTGCCGCCACGTGGCACGCTGAAGGGCTCCACTTCAACCATGTTCTGTCAGTAAGCAGACGAGGTTTACGCGATCTTATTGGACGTTTCGGCCCCTACCCAGGGATGCTTATGGGCTGCAATATGGGCTGGTTCAAAGTGATCAAATGTCCAACGACCAGACGTGGGCGGTAAGCAGCCCTGGAACGAGGTTAAAGCCCTGTTATCTGTCCCATAACCTGAGACTCAAGTCTGCTAACCAGCCTGGTTAGCTACCAAAACTTAATCCTGTGAATCTGGGCTTAAACAAGCGACCGCCCACCTGGCTGTGGTACATTTTCATGGCCTTATCGGCGTCCTCCTCCCAAAGGCCGCGAGGGTCCGCCAGTACTCTGTCCGTCACTTTATATCGGGCCCAAAGGGAACTGTTCTCGGCAGGCACGTTGCTGCGCGCATGCGCTGGAATCTCAGTAACAAGGACAGGCCGGCGGACTTTAGTAACTCTCGCGAATCCCGGTAACTCCAGTAGTGTGTCAAAATTGTCGGAAAGGTAAATCAACAACCCTCTCCCTGCATACGAGGTTAGTAACCATTGTACCCAACTGCGGGGTTCGTTCTTGTATCAAGTCTTTGTCTGAATTACCTACTTGCCTCGTCGTCACGTGGTAGTCATATTAGTGTCTCTATTGTTTGGAAGAAAGCATGCTACGATTTCGAAGCGAACAGTCACGCAGCCGCCTCATAATCCCCTTGACAGCTCGTAATTGCAGCCGGGAAAGATTTCGATTGTAAGAAAAGTTTAAACCCACCATTCGGAGTAAGCGAACCCGATGACGTCAGCGACGTTCCGGAACTCCCGGCCGACTAAGCTGACCTCCGCGTGCTCCCCAAAGGGAATGATTTGCAGCAGGACCGACCCGGGGCGCATGAACAGGGTGTTGGACAAGCCCGCCCCGTGGACCCCGACCTGAGCGGTACGTACCGTGATATGAGATCCGAGAGGGGCTAGTCAGCTTCATGATGACCTGGAAAAAATTTCTTGTTCTGTTTGTGTGCGAAGTATTTTAACAAGTTATGGTGGATACGAGCGGGATTACGGCTTCATGTGGGATGCTGCAGTATCCAATTCTTGACGTAACCAAACCAATCCGACAACGATTTCTATGTACGTTTGTATCCATTGAAAGGCTGAGGACGTCTGATCGAAGCACAACCTGCAGACCGCAATCGACGCCCCCTTGAAATAGTCGTAGATCGCAATGTTCAGCTCTCGAAAAATACATTTGCTAGCAAACCTGTGCAATACATACAAAACGCCTGGATGTGTAACAGTGGCGTTTTATGAACCGCTGGAAGGCCTTTGGATTACCAATGAGCTCGGAGACACGGCCAGCTTTAATTTCTGCGGATCCCAATCTCATACCTGCGGAGAGTACAAAGGCGACACAGCAGGAACCTAGGAGTCAGCAAAAAGCTTGATAAGCCAGCTCTGATATGTCAGTCTCAACCAGGGAAAAACTGGTTTTAGGGCCACCTAATCTGACATGGTCATTGAAAAGCCAGAAATCTCGGCCTGTGATACAAGTACGTCACAGGGAGCTTTCGCCCTTGACCAAGACTGGTTAAAGGGCAGTGAACCAGACATAAACCCAGGTTCGCTTGGCGGAAAGGGACTTAACCAACCACAAACCAAACTTGGTTACTTCAAACTTCTCCCGGTGAGTAGGCCCACCAGGCTGTCGCACGCGCGCATCGTTCGGACGGATTCCCGCGGCGCCAGGTTCTCGAACACGACGTCCGAAACCTTGAAACCCGCGTTAAGGGCGACCGCCCGCAGCGCGTCGTAGTTCGTGAGTCGCCGCGTCGTTTGGCGCTGCACCATGCAGAGCAACGGCACCTCGCCGCGCCGGAACGCATGTACGCTGTTCATCTGGACAGGAGGTTATGTGCTGGTTATGGGCTAGTTAAGAGTGGTCAAGTGTCCAATGACCAGACTTGGGCGGTAACCAGCCCTGGAACGAGGTTAAAGCCCGGTCATCTGACCAATAACCTGAGACTCGATCAAGTCTGCAAATGAGCCTGGTTAGCACCGAAATCTCCTCTGCTGGACAGGCATGGTTTGCGTGAGATGGAAAACTAGGGTTACAGGCAGAGCTGATGTCTGCAATCGGGGCCGGAAGCGATGCAGATTCTGCTCTCTTTATGTGTGCGCATGTTGCTCAACGAGCCACGAATTAGACGATGCTAGATTAGGAAGGCTTATTGGAAGTCGGTGCGCCATGAAGTCGAAGCCGAGGCTGATGCAAACGCCGAACTGGCCGATGCTTGCGCTCAATTGGTTAGAAGGATGGTCTCCATTTGCATTACGCCACACAAGCAACGGTGCTTCGGAACCAAACCGGAGGGCCGGACACCTGATAGAGGGTTATATATTGAAGGCGCCTATCGCGAAGGACATATATTAATTGTCAGGAACTTCGTAGATATTGCAAAGATGATCTTACATCCGGGTTCCACATGGGCTCCGGTAGACGCATTGCCCGAGCAACAAAAGTCGAGAAGTCGCGCAAGCGCACCCCCGCTCTAACCTGCACGTGTCAAGTAACTTGGGAACGTTACGTTGACACAGAACTTTTTGGTCCTTAACCAAGGACGGTTCTGGGCTGGTTCTGGGCTGGATAGAATTTGGTTACATGTCCAGTAACCAGACTTATACGCTAAAAATGGCCTTGGAGCGATGTCAGAGCCCGGTCAGTTGTTCGATAGCCCAAGTCTCGTAATCAGCCTGCAGGGTAGCAGCCAAAATCTCTCGTGCGAGCGTTTCTGCAAGACCGGGCACGTCCTGTTGAAGCAATGACGTCGGAAAACAAGAGAGGCCGCCTTTTTGATACAAGAAGGGCTTCGTGGGCGAACAAGGTATGACTCAGACTGCTTCTGTAAGCTGCTGCGAATGTTCTCGTCTCTGTTGAGCTGCGCCGGCTTTCGAAGGTTTTCAGAGGCCAAAGCAAAGCAGAAGTCTGTAACCGAGCCGCCTACCGGACGAGTTTAGGGCTTCGACTCTGCCTCTGATCTGTAGTACTTTGTTTTGGCGCTTGTTTGAGACAAAAGGAAACATATTTTCTGAAGACGGCCCGTTTTTATCAAGACCCGCTGCACAGCACGTTGTGTCGGCTCGAGAACGTCCGGCAAAACGGTTTGCTTACTTTCCAACCTAACAGATTTGATTTCGGCGTCATTGACAGACTGCGCGAAGAATAGAGCACACGTCGACTTCTTGTCGCACGGTACTGGTTTCACTCACACTCCCTTGGTTAGTAAAGAGTACCTAACCACCTCTTACCAGCTTCGTCCGGTAAAAGTGCACATAATCAAAGCCTAACCGGGCTTGCTTAAAAGCCGTTTTCACGTGTGCTTATTAAAGGCTCGCAAGTCCCCCATGCCTTACCTCGCTCCTCTCGTCTCTCCCCCCCAACTCGTCGTACAAACAGAAGTTGTCTTTCAGCCCTACGATGAGACTGGGAAAGCAGCCAACGCCCTGCATTTTTCCAGCGGTGTCGCGACTGCTGCCCATCAGTTTGATGGGGTGCCGCGTGAACGTTCCGGCGAAGCTTTCCGCCGGCGGAGCGCGGAACCACCAGGGGCCCTTCAGATCGGATATGATGAGGGTCACCTCGCGCTGAAAGGCCTGGCGGTCAAAGAGACGGTCAGAAGCGGTTAGTGAACTGAGAACAGGGAATCAATGGGGACGAGAGTTTACTCCTGGAGCGGGAATGAACTTCGGTCGAATCGCAAAGTTTCGTTGAGATTCAAAAGTCACCAGTCTGATCGACGTCAACTGACAATCAAGGTTGAATGTTTCGCAATCAATCGAAGCAAACCAATACTTTTAGTTTTCTGAAAAGCTTTCGTAGAAGACACGGCTCGCAGGTCCGAATGAATAGTGGGAATTGGTCAGAGATGCGGCCGCCCAGCATACCGTGAGAGAGGCATGTAAGATCCTAGTCGAAGCGGATTGATGAGCAGAGCGAGGCACCCAGAGCTAGCCTTTCCAGGTTCGACGGGCGAAACCCATTGTTCAGCTGATTTTGTCGGATTTCTTATGATCTGGATGCACGACGTCTCGAAAATCTGAAGCGGATGTCGCGCCTTCTATTCAAAGACGCAAGGGAGACTTCATACATGAACCTTGTCTTGTCATGGTTCTATTAGAGAGAAGCTCCTTGAAAGGCGCTAACCCCCGCTTAACCAGCTCCGAGAATAAGGGCAGATGTCTCCTGTCGACTTTGTGAATTTGCAGCCCGCGCGCTCGATCATATGCGCGCGCGCTAACAATAGGAGTGTCGAGCGCGCGCGGCTTTGTCGGACAACCATCATCTACCAAAAGGACCTTGATGCTCCTGCCCGATGCCGGTAGAAGATCGTCAAATAATCAGCTCTCGTGTACCTCCGTCGTAGGCTAGCTATCCGCGCTTGCTTGTTACTATCAACGCGAGAAACGAGGACGTGTCGGAAGATGTAAAAACCACAGGTATAGGAATGTTTACCACGTTTCTGATGTTGCGTGAAAGAGCTCACACATTTTTCTGTTCCCCTGCGTACCTGCGTCGTCTGAAAGAGCGGCAGCAGCACTTCGTTGAAGTCGTGGAAGATCGCCCCGCTGTGTCCCCCGGCCGAGAAGAGCACCCCGGGCGAGTCCCGGTCCGCCGTACACCGCGGCGCTAATGCCGGCTCCGCGCGCGCGTCCACCGCGCGCAGTTTCTGCTCGGTGACCGTGGCCATGACCGGGGCGTCCCACTTGCGGGCGTACGGCCGCACGGCGAGGGATCCCCGAGGCGTGTCTGGGTGCCGCGCGACGAGAAAGATCTCCCCCGCGCGAAAATCAACGCGCACATCTCCGCGTAGCGTGCAGTAGTCGGTCAAGGGCGACTCCCGGTTGCACTCGAACCGCTCGCCCGGGGGATTCCGTTCCGGAATCTCGCCCGAGCGGAACGGCTCAGGGCATCCCTCTGAGCTGCAGCCGACCAGGCGCCAGGCGGAGAAGTATACTACCAGGATGAAAGCGCAAGAGAACGCTGCGAGCATGACGCTCGACGGGCGCTTCAAAGCGAAGGACGCTCTGGCCAGAAAGTACGCCATTACTAATTCGGGTTCCGTTCAGGGTCTGCTGGCTAAGAGTGAAGGAGTAGCCGCCTCGTGCTCTTTAAGCGCCGTGTTTTGCTCTTAGGCTTTCCCCCAAGTCGCTCAGTGCTGGAGATTGTGCGCGTTTGGGGAGGGCCGTCCAGGCTACAAACACGTGGCGGACTTGCTTCTTATCGGGTTTCGTTGAAGAGTTGGGCTGTGTGACGTCACGAAGGACCTGCATCGGGATCGCTGTGTCGTTGGAGGCTGGATCATAGGGGAGACCACAATTAACCAGCCCGAATAGACTTCGTTTAGGTTGCCCTTCTTCCAAACGGAGCTGGTAAGACATCCTAGAAATAGGTTAACCAGGTTAGGACCTAACCCTTTTTACAGAGGGATTAAATGAGCATGGAAATCACCTGAAGCTGCTTTTGAATCATGACCGCGGTTTGCAGTTGAGTCACTCACTTTCGATTACGGCCGCAGAGGCATATACATCCTTGATCCCATTGCGGTTTACTGCAAGCACTTGAAGAAGGTTTTCAAGTCTCCTCGGTTGCTCGAGATGTTTGTTGGGCGGTTGGGAGAAGTTGGCTACAAGCGAAGAGTCCCTGTCCATCTCTACCCTTCGTTGATTAACGGAACCAAGTGCTTCGAAAAGTTGACCGGGGTCATTAAGTAAGCCTTGTAAATTTCTGGTAGCCCCGTCAAAATTTTCGGTAGCAATAAATGATGATGCCACCCTGAACGTCCTCCGGCACAGGGCTTCGAGCCAAGATCCGTCACAAACTTAAGTAGAACAAGAAAATCAACGTCGATCTGCTTCTCAAAAAACCGCGATCGCAAGCGCAGAAGAAGAGAAGGGGTAAGCAATTTGGGCGCCCACCTAGCTCGTTCTTGGTCCTTTCCAGAAGTGAGCCAGCACGGGAATCAACGGCGCGCCGTCAATAGCTGGCACCTTCCGAGTCCTTGCAAGTATCCGCGGCGTCTCAGAAGGCGTAGCTTTACCTGTTTGCGAAGTGGTCAGAACCTCTCTCTGCGCAAAGAAAGGACCGGCGTCTCTGAAACACTTGATAGATTGAGAAAGCAAACTGTTTTCCGCTGTTGATCAACTCCGGCCTCATTGGAAAGCTAGACACATTTTCAACTCTTCCCCCCGCTCAACAACCATGCCGCCTCATCCTGAACTGAACAACCTACGACGCGGAGGAAGGAGGCTTCACTCTTGTTCAGCTTTGATGCTCTGTGGCAGAGGCTGCCGGAAACGGACTTGGCCTTTTGTTTTGCAGCATCGATCTTGAAATTTTGAAGGCATACAGTCGACTTCTGTAGCTGCCCGACCGTCAAGTGTAAATCAACGGACGAGTTCTCATGCACAAAAACAAGACTGCATGACAAATTCATCTGCAGCGGCAGAGATGAACTCAACCCCAACAAAGCACGGGACGTTGTGTCTAGCTCGGAATAGTAGTTCAATTGGATGAGCAAAACAACAACATAAAACGACAGCAATCGGCTTCTTGCTTCTTGTTGGACCTGTTTGATACGATTTTGCCGCCCCTGTGAGGCGCTGGCCTCATCTCTGAAGGCGGAACGGTTCGAGAACTCTGCGATGTGTTGATGTCTTCGAAAAGGAATTCCTTGTTTAGTACGTGTACTGAAGACAGACATTAGGCTGTGAATTGATACGTCCTAACGGACTCAACGCTTCGCAATCCGTTTCGATGTTTCTGAGGACGCGCTGAGCTTATTCCAGGAGACTGAATCATCGCGTATATCGTTCTACTTACAAGTACGTGGCGTCATCAATCAAGTAATAGAGTTACATTGCCCAAAATGGTTATACGCGGGGCCACATTACGTGGAACCCGAAAAGTATAAGAGAGAGGAAAGTTCCAAAATAGAAGTCCGTGGCATCAGTAGACCAGGCACGTTGCGCATTTTACGGAGGTATACGCACGCCCTAGACCATTTTCGTGTACTTCAAGGTGCTCTAAGATATCAATGATGAGAGGAATGTAAACGCTTGAAATGCATTCTCCTTCGCTTAGCGCTGATCTGGGGCAGTGAAGATCGAGGGGCACATGGGGACGGGAGTTCCCATGCCCATGGTTCTACTTCTCACCGATGCCCCACTTCTTCCGAAGAGCGATTACACGGACCCCAAAAAGGCACCGTTAGATAGACTGCGGAGTTGTCGTAAATTTTGTCTTCCTTTCGAATCAACGTTCAAACCGAAGAATTTAGCGGAGAGTAGGACCACTGTTTTTTGGGCCTTTTTCTGGTGGCTGATCCACTGATCATCCGGGAGGTACCCAATCCTCAACCTCCAGAACGCTCAAAGTATCCTTCCTGCAGTGCCACATATTCACGTACCACGTTCTGAGCTTCAGATTATATATACGTCCTTACTGATCTCGTGTAAAACATGCGTTTCTGTCCTGGCTAACTTGACTGTATTCCTGCGCCGAGCTGCAGCTTGTACGGCCTCCCCAATTTCCGTGTGAACACGCCTTTACTTCCTAGCGCTTCTGACTCTATCCCTGTGGCAGGCGTTCTGATATATGTGGGTCCCGTGAGGAGAGACGGCGCTGGGACCTGCGGTTGGCTCCACCGCACTGAACAGAGCTATTCCCCGATGCCCCGTGCTTTTCGCGCCGAAAAGTTCTTCAAGTCACCTTGTTACCGACGGCAGAGCATGTTTACTTGGTAAAGCTCTCCCGGAAGACGAAAGCGCTTCCGTTCGGCTCGACCCTTGAGCAAAGTCAAGCCAGAAGATACTCGTGACATCACCGGTTGCTGATTGATCTGTGCAAAAGCCGTTCTAAATTGCTTGCTCCTTTCCAAGTGGTCATCTCGGCCACTAACAAGCCCATGAAAATTGAAAAGCATCATGGGCAGCAGTAATCAGGCTTCCCATTTGGTGTCCCCACCGTCCGATCTGAGGCCCGCTCCGTAAGGCCTTTTCCGTTTCGCTCGGGTTTCCTTAATTCCCCAGTACCACTCACGAAGTAACAAAGCACGTGCTGATCGGTAGCCGCCACTGGGCTTGACTTTGAGCAACGAGAGGGCGCAGTCTAACGAATTTCTGCCCAAATATGAATCTTCTATAGGAGGAGCGTACTGCTAGCTAGCTGTGGTCAATGAGGACAGCATCTCAGACGGAATACAATGTAGCTTTGTAGGCTTCGGTTTACTTAAATCTATCTTGTTGCTTTCAGGGTCCCAGTTAATTCGGTGGCCAGCTTGTTGGATGGGGGGATGGGCACTCAACTCTGTTGCCCAACGCTTGAAGTCTTTGTTGGATGAAGCCTCTTTCCTTGCTGTCTGTCGTCTTCGTTCGGCTATTTCTGCTTGACCTCTTTTAGGTTCAGCGAGAGCCAAGCAAGTACTCTATCCACCCACCACAGAGATTGCGTGCTTCCAAATGCTAGAGCTGCATAATGCGCTATTTAGGCGGCACTGTAACACGCGGATTGCAGCAATGGCGCGCAGTCTTCTCATGACGAGCGCGCCGTGGCAGGACGTTCTCAAAGAGCTTGAGAGGCACTTTATTTCACATCGTGTTCTCTCTGGGTCCATCGTGTTGCACGTTTTGATCATCGAGAACACGCTGTCTCGATCAAAGCTATGAGACATCACGGCTGGGGGTCAAATTCAGGACGTTTGTCACATAGCTCCTTCTGAAGCCAACGGGAAGCGGTAATTCACTGAAAATTCCTTTCAGAACGACCCAAGGAGCCTCCACCAGACTTTCGAGAAGTTACAGACAATCTGATAGCTGGACAATAAAGCAGCCGCCCAATATTTCACACGCAAATTAGCAGTTAGCCGGCCAGGATTTGTTCAACAAGAGTCACCGGTTCGCTTTGCCGAACATCCCTGAGCGACAAATGGACCAACGACCTTAATTTCATACAACTTGGGCAGCTTGCTTAATCATCCGTGCTATGTGCTCTCCTCGCGTCACAACCTTTAAAACTTTAGGTCTGGTGGACGCCAGACTGAGGACTTCAAGGTAATTGTAGAGTGAGAATCTCCAATTGGCTCGTCTGCGTCATAAAGCTCCATAAGGACTACTAATAGGGCGGCAGTGATGATCCCTGGAAGTGACCTTAAGCCAGTCACTTGAGGGAGACAAGTCACACACTCGAGCCTCCTTCTAGTCGTAGAGTCCACTTAGTGTGGGAGTCGAGTTTGTGAGTCTGTCTATTCTTTAGGTATGGGGGGCATGACACATTGGGTTACAATGTGGCCTCTCGAAGCCCTGCAGTCACTACAAGAAAGCCTTTGTCGGAGCCAGGTCCGAATCAGGTCCGAACTGACGTGCGGTTCGGATCCGGTTCGGAGTACAGGTTCAGATCTGTTTCGGACACGTTTCGGACTGTGCCAGACATGTGGCGCTGTTGTTTCGGACCTGTTTCAACTAGATTCGGACATCGACGTTCGAACTTGATTCGGACCAAGTACGGTCGCTTCGCGGCAGGAATTTGAGAACGAATTTTGTAAACCGGTTTCTAGCTTGAGGCCATCGAATACGCAACGCTCCGCTGAGAACGACGCTCGCGCCTCGCGAAGGCTGTGAGGAAATCCAATCTGGGTTGCAATTCATGGGGGTGAAGATAAGACTCCTAATCCGAAGCCAACAACGGCTAAGCCCACAATCGCTCTTAGCTAAAAACAATGTAAGTCCTATCAGATTGACATGCAGCACTGCTACGTCAGAATTACATCTGCTGCCAGATGAAGAAGGTCAGTCTCGATTATTATGCAAAAGCGAATCACATCCACCCGGGTCTTCTTCGAAACCCCCTTCGTGTTGCCTAAAACATCAACGCGCATCGCTGCGCAGCAAACTGATGATACTTTCAACTCTACTTAAGTTGGGCTTAGACAGTCATTAGGTACTATCAGCTCTTCGTACCCGTTGGCAAGCATTTGAGATCTCTCTTTCTTCCTGCTTAGCTGCCACGCTAAGAGACTCCAGAGAGCCTGTTATCAAAGCTCCCCCAGTC